TGTCGGCCAGCGCTTTTATAACTTGCTTTTGTTGCTGCTGTTGGCAGTGGTAGTGGAGGTAATACAATTTTATTACAATAAATACGACAACGATATTTATGATGGCAGTAAGTTTTTTGAGTAGACGTTCTATCCCCGGCGAATATGAAACTAAACTAAATCTGTACAAAATATGCGCATTCTGCTTTCTCGTGTAATGTTACCGTCAGTAGCGAAGCTCTTCTAGTTAGGCCGAGTAACAAGAGAGAGAGCTCACACAATTAGTACTAATTATGATGCACCAGTGAGCCAAATTGCCAAGTCATTATCATGCCAATTACAAACACGGCTGTCAAGCTTGTGACAATTACTGATTTTGATACGGGTGAGCAAGTTATCATCGCTTTAATTACGTTCATCTGCGATAAATGCAGGACCCGCATGCATTGGTCGGCATATGATCAAATAGCAGCTGCCTCCTATAAGTAGTGCAGCGTCCTATAGCTGCTGTCTCAAATGCTGGGGTTCAAGCGCGACTCCAAGACGTCGGGCGAATTAAATGCTTATTCCAGCGATTGAGTCTCGCTTCTCAACCACTTCTTAGAACTAGTATGTTCGCTTGTATCGGCATGGAAAACAGTTACTATTTGCCAGCTAGCGCCAGTTATTGAATGTCTCGAGCCCACAGTAACTGTCAACACCAATGATCGCGCAACAGTAGACTAGTTCATGAGACATTAAAATGATGTTAACTTACAGCCTGGAGACCTGAAGTTAGTCAAGTCTTCAGCAAGCTATGACACTCGACCTGGAGCCTCCGCGACATGGTCCTCGACGCCAAGCTCAGCGTGTGCAGAAGTTTGTTTACAGCGTGGAACCCTAAAAACCTATAAGTTGATCTTAAAAAGGAACTTAAAAACTCCTGTCTAAATTGTCCTCGAGGGGTATCAAAGACGAAGTGACAGGAGCACATTTCGGACAGTCAGCTTATGGGTGCAATTGGCCTGGCGAGCATATACACCGTGTCGGATAAGATCAGACTACTATGAGGTGATCATATTTTGGGGGTGGCCGGTGAGGATCTACGGAAGCACCATCCGCGTGGGCTGACTGAACTGGGTGATAGCAGATAACAACACTTTAAGTTTGTTTTCTGATGGATCATGAGATCTGGGAGACGCTTGCAATGGATCGACAGGAAGGGCGAACAGCCATGAAAAAAACTGGAACAATGATCTCCAAAACCAACGGAGTACCACACAGTACAACCTTCCAAACACGAAAGCACATGCGAACTACCATAGGTGTGTGCGGTCTGAAGCCTTAAGCAACGCCAGTCACTACGTCTCTAGCTGGTCCGTAGGCATTTTAAAGCTGGAAAACCACAACTCAAGCAGCTCGTAACTCGTGGTTTTCGCCCCCTGTGGAGAAATCGGCCACGTCAAAATGGAAGGTCTGGCCAGATCCGATTAGTTAACCCGTAATTCTTCATCGGCGAGGTATTTTCAGCTATCCACACCCGAAGTACTCTTTCCTCTGTCGACACTGCTACCTCGTACACAACTATGGAACATCCATAAGTATAAGGCTCCTCTTCCCGCAGTCGGCTTACTTGGCTTAAAGTGTCTGGCTCTGACCCGTGTGACATTTTAACTTCGAGCGAGCTGGAGTCCAAAACGGCAGGCCAACAACAGCCCTGTTCAGAAGATGGAACACGTTTTTTAGTTAATACTCAGAACGCGCCTTTACACATCTACCGGCAGTTAGAAGTTTATTTTTAATTTCTGCGTCTGCATCCCGCGCGCGATTAAAGTAATTGGGGGTATGACTACATATACACTTCTTAGCTGCCCTATACGTTAAGCAATATCCCTGTCTGCTCTTTTTGCTCAGTTACACCTACTGGCTCACGCCACCTGGCATCACACGATTAATACTTAAACGTGTGACTATAGCACTTGGAATAAGCGAGTAGCCATGTATGTTTACTTTTCAGAACCAACCGGCGTCTCGCTTTCCGCCTGCAACCTCTTATGAAATGTTCTACCGTACCGATGCATTTCTTAACTACTCTGTACCAATAGGGAGTTCAAAGGCGTTTGCCTATATTTCCCTTCATAAACCTGACAAAAAAAACAATGCATCACCTCTGCATCCGGGCTTTGTAACCAACGTTTGTTTTCAGATCTCAGGAAGGTGCGATAAATGACGTATTCACTCACACTCATTTAAGTGAACCTTCGTGAGATTGGGGAAGGCTCTGCTTACCACCAGCCTCCCCCCCCGCGGAAGTTATAATCCTCCAGCAGATTGAACTCTGGTTACTGCAAATGCTCGTTAGAAAGCAGCTCGACGCACCCTTCCAGCGCTAAGCTGCTTAATTTAGCTGACCACAAGTCTCCGGGCAACGGATGGTGGACTTTTGTTCGCTGAAGGCTAGCCACGAAAGGAACAGGCTTTGGGCCTGAAAAAATAGAAGAGGAACATCCAATGGTAACGCGTTCAGGCACCGGCGGACAAATCGCTAAATTAAATCGGTCGTAAGTGGCCGATGGTAACCCTCCTCCAATCCTACAGAGCATCGCGCGCCTTCTGGCATAATCCACGAAGCCTAAGCTGGCGCGCGGGAGCGGAAACGGTTACCTTTAAACCGAGAAGACTGGCCCTCCAAGGAGCTGCCCGCGAAGTCGCTACCTGTGGAGTAAAAATTTAACGAGACTCCTTGTCGGTGGAGGATTACTACCCACAAGTTGCACCTGGACAGGTTGTTGGTCAGTGGCACTGAGAGCAATGCTTGCCTGCACAACGACCAGACGTGAATGGAAAACCCGCTACCATAAGCTGAATACTAGTGGCTGTGGCACAACAGATGTGAACGACTTTTTAAAATTCGACCGCATATTTCAACTAGGTCCACCGTATGGTCCGTGACAAACTGGCGCAGCGATGGCGGTTTGTGTGTGAAGTAGATTACAATGGTAGTAGACTTGCGTTGCATCTACTACACTCTATCTTCCGCCTCCCCGACTGTTGTTCGATGCCATGAC